GTGCTGCCAGAGGTGGGGAATGATTGGGGTGTTCCTTTGGGATGCTTTTTGGGGTGAGCCATATTGCAGGAACATCACAGACCTGAGAATATTGACTCGATTTCTGGGGTTTTTAAGAGTTGGGAATGAAGATGAGTGCTGCCAGAGCTGGGGAATGGTTGAGGTGTCCCCTTTGGGATGCTTTTTGGGGTGAGCCATATTGCAGGAACATCACAGCCGTGTGAGCATTGACTCGATTTCCAGGTTTTCTAGGAGTTGGGAATGGAGGGTGAGTGCTGCTGGAGCTGGGGAATGGTTGAGGTGCCCCCTTTGAGATGCTTGTTTTGGATGAGCCATATTCCAGGAGCATCACAGACCTGAGAATATTGACTCGATTTCCAGGTTTCTTAAGAGTTGGGAATGGAGATGAGTGCTGCCAGAGCTGAGGAATGATTGGGGTGTCCCCTTTGGGATGCTTTTTGGGATCAGCCATATTCCAGGAGCATCACAGCTTTGTGAACATTGACTCGATTTCCAGGTTTTTTACGAGTAGGGAATGGAGGGTGAGCCCTGCCTGGGGCTGATTGGGGTGTCCCCTTTGGGATGCTTTTTGGGGTACACCATATTCCAGGAGCATCACAGCCCTGTGAACACTGGATTTTTACCCCCTGTAACACACGGATCCCACTGTGCCCACCCTCAATTCCAGCTTCTCCCAGCACATCCTGCTTTTCCAGCCCGGGACACCCCAGCAGGGCAAAACCTGGCTCCTTTCTGTGGAAATCCCGAACAGCGTGCCCGCCCTCCCCGCAGCGCCCCGCTGTCAATCCCTGCCCTCCCCCGGCTCTGCAGGCGGTGACGGGCCCTTTGTCCCGGTGTCTGCTCCTGTTTTTCAGCGCCTGTTGAAAGCCTCTGTTCCCCCCGCTCCCAAGCCGGTGATAAGCGTTTGACTGATCCCACCGAGCAGGCGGGGATGAGCCATTCAGGCGGGATTGACACCTAAAGGGATTTGCATTAAACGCTTCAAACTCACTCGGCTTTTTTTTTTTTTAATTTTTTTTTTTTATTCCCCATTTTATTTTATTTTTTTTTTCATCCATCATGATATATTTAGCAAATTCCTGCATGAAATTACGGCCCCAATCGTTGGCATTCACCTGTCTGAGAAGGAATCTCTCCCGGCACTGATTTTCCCGAGCACCCCGAGGCAGGAATTAGGAATTGGGAATTAGCCCCGATGCTCCACGAGCTTGGTTTGGGCTCTCCCGACCGAGGGATGCACGGGAAAAAGGAGGAAAAATGAGGAATTTGGGTCTGCAGAGGGTTAGTGCGTGGTGAGAGGTGAAGGAGAGGGGAATGCTGGGGTGCTGACGATGTGCCAAGGGCTGAGATGCGGGATTTTGGGAAAGGTTTGGGAAGCCGAGGGCTGTGTGGGACAGGGGCTGATCCCGATGTGCTGCTGGGGGCCTGCAGCGAGGGGTAGAATCCCGGGAATTTGGAGCCTCCTGGAGCAGAGGAGATGGTGGGACAACCATGGAGAGAGGCAAAGAAAAAGAAAAAAAAAAAGAAAAAAAAAAAGTGGGGATGTCCAGATTTCGGGATCTGCTCCAAATCTGGCAGGTAAGGCACCCTTAGCCTGTGGTGGCATTTTCCTGCCATCCCTGGAGGGTGCTGTGGGCTTCTCCCAGATTTTGGGGGGCTCCAAGCCTTGAGATGGACCAAGTGTGGTTCTCTCTGCTCCCTCAAAACCCTTTGGAGCCAAAATAAAAAATACCTGCTCCACAATCCTGCCTCCCTTTCCTGAAGCAGGGTTGACTTGGGCCTGATCCCTATGGAAAATTGAAATTAGGCTGACGTTTTCCCTTGGTTTTTTGTTGGTATGGTGTTTTGTTTTGTTTTGTTTTTTAATTCCACTTTTTTGCCTCTGCTGTCCTTGCAGAACTGGGAGCCTGGCACAGGGAATGGGGTTCCTCCTGCCCAGCTGGGATGGGGAATTCAGGCTGGCAGGACCACAATGTATTTCCAACATGTTACCCCACTTTGGGTAAAGGAGAGGAGGATGGAAATGTTTGCCTTGGGCACTGCCAGGGATGCAGGGGCAGCCACAGCTGCTCTGGGCACCCTGTGCCAGGGCCTGCCCACCCTCCCGGGGAGGAATTCCCTGCCTCCCTTTCCTGAAGCAGGGTTGACTTGGGCCTGATCCCTATGGAAAATTGAAATTAGGCTGATGTTTTCCCTTGGTTTTTTGTTGGTTTGGGGTTTTGTTTTGTTTTGTTTTTTAATTCCACTTTTTTGCCTCTGCTGTCCTTGCAGAACTGGGAGCCTGGCACAGGGAATGGGGTTCCTCCTGCCCAGCTGGGATGGGGAATTCAGGCTGGCAGGACCACAATGTATTTCCAACATGTTACCCCACTTTGGGTAAAGGAGAGGAGGATGGAAATGTTTGCCTTGGGCACTGCCAGGGATGCAGGGGCAGCCACAGCTGCTCTGGGCACCCTGTGCCAGGGCCTGCCCACCCTCCCGGGGAGGAATTCCTTCCCAAAATCCCATCTGAATCTCCCCGCTTTTAGTTTGAAGCCATTTCCTTTTTTCCTGTCACCATCTATGGAATCATGGAGTGGTTGGGCTGGGAAGGACCTTGGAGATCACCTCATTCCAACCCGTGTAGGAGAAAGGATGGATGGATGGATGGATGGATGGATGGATGGATGATGGATGATGGATGGATGGATGGACGGACAGACAACCTCTCATGGCAGCAAGTCCTTTATGAGGTGCCCATGACTGGCCTCATCCTCCAGCCCTGCCCCAAGGATGGTTTTTGACCCTTTCTTGCCGAAGAAGCCCAAACAAGGCTTGGTTTGCTCCTTGGCCCTCAGGCACTCCTTGTCCCCAAGCCAGGGGACAGGATGTCCTGTCCCTGTGAGCCCCCTGTGCCAGGGGGTTTCTATGGCTGAGGATGTCCCTGCTCCTCTCCAGGCTTCAGTTCTTGCCCCCATTCTCTCAGGACAGGGATCAAAGCCATGGGGAGACAGGCAGCCAGCCCAGTCACCCACTTGGATCCTGGTGTTTATTATTCTTTATTGTTTTTTCTTCTCTTGAAGAAACAGAGAGAGGAAAAAAAATCTCTCTGTCCAAAATCACTCATCCTTCCTAATAATGAGAGCTGTCAGCAGCCCTGCTTGGCGAGGAAATGATGCTCGCAGTAAATATTTGGTCTGGAACTGATTTATGGGTGGAAAAAAATGAGATTAGTGCTTAATCACTGCCTTTCAGGAAGGGCTTTGGGCTGGGGTTGAGCTCAGGGGGCTGGGGCCATGCCAGGGGAGCAGCACTGGGATTTTTGGTGGAGACCCTGTGGTGGGGTTGGGATTGAACAGCAGCAGGTGAGGGGATGGAGTGGATTTGGGGCCACCAAAGGTGGGATTTTGGGCAGGAATTGTTCCCTGGCAGGGTGGGCAGGCCCTGGCACAGGGTGCCCAGAGCAGCTGTGGCTGCCCCTGGATCCCTGGCAGGTTGGACACTGGGGCTTGGAGCAGCCTGGGACAGTGGGAGGTGTCCCTGGCCATGTCCTTTAGTGAGCTCTGATGTCCCTTCCCACCCAACCCATTCATGGCTCCGTGACCATCGGCTGTGGGGCTGACCCCAAGGAGTTCCAAGCTGGGAGAGCTGCTCAGCTGGACCAGCCTGGAACCATCCACCCCATCCTGAACCCAGCACACCCAAAGAGGTCCTTGCAGCCACCCTAAACACAGCAGCAGCTTTCCTGTGTGAGGAAATAATTAGCTTATTAGAAGATGGTTTAATTTTCTTCATTAAGAGGCCATTTCCTATCGCCTGGCAGGGCCAGATGCCCCCGGGCACCGCTGGGAGTGGTGGGACATTTTCAGCTCCAGAGCCTCCCAGGGAATGATTCCTGCCCAATATCCCATCCATCCCTGCCCTCTGGCAGTGGAAGCCATTCCCTGTGTCCTGTCCCTCCATGCCTTGTCCCCAGTCCCTCTCCAGCTCTCCTGGAGCCCCTTCAGGCCCTGCAAGGGGCTCTGAGCTCTCCCTGGAGCCTTCTCCTCTCCAGGTGAGCACCCCCAGCTCTCCAGCCTGGCTCCAGAGCAGAGGGGCTCCAGCCCTTGGAGCATCTCTGGTGCCTCCTCTGGACTCTCCAGCAGCTCCAGGTCCTTCCTGAGCTGGGACACCGAGCTGGATGCAGTTGGGATGCAGGGATTATGGATGGAACATTCCAGGAATCCTTGAGGTGTTGCACTGCCAGATGTTCTCCAAAGGTCCCTGTCCCAGATGCTGCAGATCTCCAGCGGGCTGAGCTGCCTCTCCCAGGCTCTCTCTGTGCTCATTCCGGGGCAGCCGGAGCGGGAGCGGATGAGCCGGAGCGGCTCCGCGGTGCCAGGATCCTCAGCCCGGCCCATCTGAGCTGCCAGTGTCACGCTGCATCCCAAATCCTTCCAGTCTGGTGCAGCTTTGGGATCATCTGAGCCAGCAGAACAACACGGGGCCTTGTCCCCGTGTGGAAGAATGGGACAGGAGGGGGAGGCGGGCGACTCCTCCCCGCTGTTCTGCAGAATTTCATTTCTGAGGAACTTCCCCCAGTGTTTTGGGTTGTCCACACCACAGCCCTGTGCCTTGACAAGCTGATTCCTGGGAATCTCTTGGGGTCCATCACATTCTCACTGCAGTTCACCCTTGCTTGGGCCCTTTATTTGAAGTAGTGACATTAAATGTGACCATTTAGGGGATTTGACAAGGTCAGCAAGGCTGAGGCTGATGAGCTTTTGGACACAATGATTTTTTTTTTCACCCAGGTTCTCAAAAGGAAAAGCTATGGAATGTTTCTTAATGAAAATTGCCTTTGTTTGATGGTGGGGAGGGATTGGGAATTCTCAGGAGGAAGTTGCATTAATTATCACATGGGAGATGGTGCAACAACACCCCCATCCCACGGGTGCCACCAGCCCATCCCCAACTCCTTTCCCTTCACTTTTCCTCCTTTTTCCTCTTTTCCCTCCCAGAGTCAAGAAGAAGAACAAGCCCCTGAACCTCAAGATCCACAACAGCGTGGGGAGCTGTGAGAACATCCCGGCCCAGCGCTCCCCTCTCCTCTCCGAGCGCTCCCTGCGCTCCTTCTTCGTGGGGTACCCGCCCTTCCTGCCCTCCACCCCGCCCGTGCACACCGAAGCCACCTTCTCTGCAAGTGAGTGCCCGTGGGCGCCTCGGATCCCGCTTCCAAGGGGTGGGAGATGCCAAGCAGAGCATGGCACTGGGGAGTTTTGGGGTCAGTGGTTTGGAGGACGTTGGTTGAGCGCTGTGGAATGAGCCCAGCCCTTGTGGAGGTGCCTCATGTTGGTGTTTAGAGATCTGTGGGTGCTTCTGGGCAAAGAGAGCCACAAAAACTTGATTATTTCAGTTTTTTGGGAAAGCCACGAGGTTTCTGTGCTGTCGGGGTTGGTGGCACTGCCTGGATGTCACCTAAAAGTGACTTTTTTGAGGGTTGCTTTGTAAACCTTTGTGGTTTCACCTCTGTGTTTAAACCTCTCCTGCTGCTGGATGTGGAGTTTTGGGAAGCCAGTCCTGGTGCAAACCCCGTGGAGCTGATCCCAGCAGCCAGCCCTGATCCCACCTGGCAGGGCTTTGTCATCTCCCAGGAGATGCTGGTGGTGGCACTCACGGGGTGGGTTTGGCTCCATGAGCTCACCCAGGTGTGGGAGGAACAGCCTGACCCTCATTTCCTGGTCCCAGAGCAGTGCTGGCATTAATTCCACAGGGACTGAAACTTTTACAAGCCAGGCGTGGCTCCTGGCCCAAGAGGAACTTCCCGGGAGGAAACACGTGGCAGCTGCTGGGAGCGATTCCCAGCCAAGTCAAGTTCCCTTCGCCTCTTGTTCCTCAGATACAGCTTCCTCCAGCTCCACATCCAGGCTGGGTTTCTGTCACCTTCCCTTCCCTGGATTTTCCCCTCGTTTCATTTCTGGAAATGTCTTCCTGGCTTGTTTTGGGGTCTTCCACTCATCCCTCCTGCTCAAGAAGCAGGCTGGGGAGGGTTTTGCAGCCAAAGAAGTGTTTGCAGCACCCTTCCCTTCCCTTCCCTTCCCTTCCCTGGCACTTTGGGATCACTGAGGGCTCATCCAGCCAGTCCTGCTGTCCTTTTCCTCCTGTCCCTTTGCCTTTGGGGACAGTGGCACCTGGCAGGAGCTCTGCAGGCAGACGATGCTGTCCCAGAGATATCCAACACCTCATTCCTTGCCCGGAGCGAGGGGGATTTCTGCCTTGCTGTTTCCCACGTGGAATGTCTGTGCTCAGCTCGCAGCCCGGACCAACAGAGCAGGAGCCAGGGACCAAAGCCCGTTCCCAGCCCCCCATGGGTGTCTCCTTGGATTAGTTTTGGCCACCCCTCAGTGCTGGATGGCGTGCCATGCTGTGACATCCTGATGGAAGGTGGCACCGCCGCAGCACGACGCCGTGGGCAGTGATGGGCTGGCAAGTGGCTGACGCTGCTGGGGAGGTGTCTCCTCTCATTTCCCTCTGGCTTCCCCGGCTGCTGGGAATGTTTTCCAGGCCGGATGGGAGCTGGGTTTCCCCGGCTGGTTGATCCCTGCTGGGAGGTTTGGCATCAGTGGCGCTGTTTTGTCGTAGTTGAGGTGGAGGCAATACAGAGCAGCACACTGTTTTCAGAAGGCTTCAAACCCGTTTTTCCTGCAGCACACATGCTTTTTATACATTCTTACAAAGCCCATAAGTTTACTCGTTGGTCAGGAAAGACAAGCAAAGTGCTCATTGGAACAGGCAGTTGCAGGTTTCTCTTATTTATCCTTCTTTCCTTCTTGGTTTCTTTGTCAATGACCTTAGTAGGAAATTCTTTCAGGGCTAAACATGGATTCTGTTTTCAGAAGGCTTCAAACCTGTTTTTCTTGCAGCACACATGCTTTTTATACATTCTTACAAAGCCCATAAGTTTACACTTTACTCGTTGGTCAGGAAAGACAAGCAAAGTGCTCATTGGAACAGGCAGTTGCAGGTTTCTCTTATTTATCCTTCTTTCCTTCTTGGTTTCTTTGTCAATGACCTTAGTAGGAAATTCTTTCAGGGCTAAACATGGATTCTCTGATCAAACTTCTCTCTGGCTCACAGAAGTCGCTGTAAAACCTTTTTCCACACTGTTTGGTCCTTGCAGGATCAACATCCGTGTGGGAGTTATGCCAAGCAGGGCAGACATTTGTTTGTAGGGAGCAGAACCATGGAATGATTGGGGCTGGAAGGGAGCTTGAAGTTCATCTACTTCCATGGGCAGGGACACCTCCCCCTAGAGCGGGTTGTTCCAAGCCCTCCTGCATCCCAAGGATTCCCCGTCCCCATCCTTGTGGTGGTTCAACAGCTGAGCTCTCCACAATATCCCATCCTTATGGTTTTTTTTAAATCCCTCTTCCCTTTTCCTCCTGTGGGAGCAGCACAACAGCACCCAGATGCTCTGGATTGCTGTGGAATTACTTCCCCAAGCACGGAAATACAAAAATTGTTCTTGTTGTCAGCTGGAGATGGGTGAGGGGAGCCCAGTGAGGCCCCATCCCTCCCTGGCTGTCTCTCCATGATTTCTTTTCCACTGCCTTGCTGCTCCTGGCAGGAGCACGTTCCCATCTGAGTCATCCCTGGCCCGGATCAGGAGAGGGTTTGGATGCTTCCCTCTGATTTTTAACACCCCTTTGTCCTGATGGGAATGGATTTTCACAGAGGGCTGGAGGGAGCTGCGGAAGGAGCCTCTTCCTCCAGCAAATCTGGCCAGGGGAATCACAGGATTATGGAGTACCCTGAGTTGGTCCCCAGGGATCTGGGGGGATTCTCCCCTGGGGGGATTCTCCTGAATCCCTGTCCTGCCTCTTCCCCTTGGCTCTGTGAGCGAGGAATTTGCAGTTTATGGTGTTGAGCATGAGCAGGATCCCAACCAGAGATGGCCAAGTGACAAGTGCTGAGATGCCACCAGAGCTCCTTGAGCCCCCCCAGCTCCGGGAGAGCCCCTGCAGGGCTGACCTCAGGCAGGTTGGGTGGACAGGGATCCAGGAAAATGTCCAGTGGGTTGGGGTGGGAGTCCCGGAGCCCTAAATCCAGCTTTTCTTCTGGAAAGCACCGGGCTGGATCCAAGGACATGTCCATGGTGTTGAAGGTGACATGGGGAAGCAGCCAGTGCCACCCATGCCCCCTCCCCATGGTCCCCATTGCCAGTGCTGGGGTGAATTTGGGGGGGACATTTCTCCCTAACGCTGTCCCAGCCCCAGCATCTCCAGGAGGGGACTTCCCAAAGGGAACCTCATTCCTTGGGGACCACCCAAGGAGGTTCCCTCCCCCCTGACCTGCCCTGCATGAGCCATGGCAGGAGCTCTGCTGGCAGCTCCCTGCAGCCACAGCTGGCCACAGCTGGCAGCGAGGCTCCGGAGGGTTTCCCACCCTGGCAGCAGAGTCGGAGGGCACAGCTTTGTCTGGATAAGCCTGACTGAGCTGCAAGGCTGGGAACTGGGGGGGAAATCCCCCTGCCAGGCTTTAAGCCAGCTGAACGTGGCGTTTGAGCTGGGTGGATGGGACTGTCCCGTTGGAAAGGGGAACTGCCCGGGTTAGAAGGGGACTCTTTCCTTACCGGAGAGATGCTCTGGGAGCAGCTCCTGCTCCAGATGATCCCCTCTGCTCCTGCTCAGCTTTGGTTTCAGCCTGCTGGATCCATCCTGGGTCACCCTTCCACCCACTGCACCTGGCTGTGATCCACAGGGTTGGAAGGGGCCTTAAAGGCCATCCCATTCCAGCCCCCCACATGGACAGGGACACTTCCCAAATTCCCTGTGGAATATCTGCCACGTGCACTCATGGAGGGAGCGTGTGACTGCCTTTGTGCCTTGAATCCTGCATGGATTTCTGTCCTGGTGAGGGAAAGCTGCTGGAGCAGCTGCTCTGGGATCTCTCCCATCCTTTTTTGGCCCTAAAAGCAGCACGAGCAAGGCCTGAGGTGTCTCTGAAGGGACCACGTGGGAAGCACACCCAGGGTGGAGGGGAGACACCGGGACAGTGTCCCTGGAACTGCCACAGGCTGAGGCACTGGAACTCTGTCACTGCAGCGGGCACAGGGTGCCCAGAGCAGCTGTGGCTGCCCCTGGATCCCTGGCAGTGCCCAAGGCCAGGCTGGACACTGGGGCTGGAGCAGCCTGGGACAGTGGGAGGTGTCCCTGCCATGGCAGGGGTGGGAAGAGACCATCTTTGAGATTCTTTCCCCCCCCAACCATTCCATGGATATTATGATTTGTCTCTGGACTGGGATTTTTGCCTGGTGGTGGGGATACTCCTGACCCTGGATTTCCTCTGCTGTTGAACTCATTTGGGAAGAGGCTTCCCACCCTGGTCTCCTCTTTATCTCTCCATGGGACTCACCCACTTTGGGAGCATTTTGGTGACATTTGGGGCGTTTGGGGTAAGTGCAAAGCCTCCTGGCCATTCCTTGGCTTTGCAGTGACTCATCCTGGGATTCTTACCAAGCCCACTTCCATCGATTTTCTCTGTCCCATTCGGAATGGGAACGTGGTTGCTGTAGTAGTGGTGGATTCTGGTTCTTTTCTGGCCACTCTATAAATCCATTTTCTACATGGTAGAAGGAGGGTTTGTTTAGCAGGCTGTCTCTGTGATGGATAACGGGCTCCCACCAGCTCCCTGACATCCAGACAGGGCTCAGGAGATGAGGAAGGGACAATTGCGACAGAACACTCCCCATCCCCGTGGTTCAGCACCGCTGCCACCCCTGGAAGGTGCTCCAGGAGTCCTTGGAGAGGGTTTGGGGCTCTCTGAGGGCATCACCGCCCAGCCAAGGAGGGTGCAACCCCAAAATAATGAAACAGGGAAGCTCAGGTGCTTTTCTCCATGCAGGACAAGCCCAGCCGGAATTCACCGGGGCGGCAGCGGGGGCAGCAGCGCCGCGTCCCCGTCACCTCCGAGGCGCGCGGGTGCCACTCAGAGCGGCGCTGGCTGTCACAGCTGCCTGTCACCGCCGGCGAGCGGGGTGGCAGGGCTCTTCTGCCGTGTCGCCTGTCAGGGACACGCCGGAGGTGGCTGTCACCCGTGGCCCGGCCGGTTCTCCCCTTCCCGGCTCTGCCGCTGGCACAGCTGATCCCATCAAGCGCGGCTGTTGATTTTGGGATGAGCTGTGCCGCGCCGAGCAGGAGCCCTGACCTTTGCTGGAGCGGCGAAGGAAAACACGGAGGTGTCGGAAGGAGGGTGGCATTGCCTGGCACCGCGGCCACCGGGCAGTGCCGCCGCATCGGGAAGCGGGGTTTGGCTTTTGGGAGCCCCTCGGGAGGCAGGGATGGGGTGGGTGACCGGGGGAAGTCTCCATGGGGCTGCTCAGTGGGTGCCACCCTGCGAAATTCCACTTGTGCCCAATGAAATGCCAGCTCGGAGGGGCAGAGGGCGGCGGGGGGAATTAGGCGAGGGGAATTGTGGCCGGGAGAATTCGGATTTTTGAGGCAGGCAGGAGGCTGCTGGTGATAAAGGTTTGAAATAATCACTGGCACGGGGGCAGCTCCGGGGCGCTGGAGCGGGCGGAGGGAGGGAACAGGGAGAGAGGGAGAGAGGGAGGATGGGGAGAGGGAGGATGGGGAGACGCAGCCGCTGTCACGCCTCAAAGCGAGCGAGGATCAACCGATCCCGCGGCCGCTTCTCCATCACGGGGTCCCCACGACAAAGCCTGACCCTCCCTCCCTGAACCCAGACCGCTCATGGGGTTTTCCCCCTTGTAATTAGCGCTAATTGTGGCAAGGTGGGGGGTTTTCAATGGGAACATTCCTCCCGTGCTGGGGGGAAGCTGCTGCATCTCCCCCCGAGTTAACACTGCGAGGAATCCGGGGAAAGGGGAGACTCCCCAATTAACTCCGGAGCCCCCCGAGCCCTCGGGGCTGACCCCCGGTGCCTGTCCCTGCCCTCCTGCCCCGCTCCGCTGCTTTCCCCTCCTGCCAACAGCGGCTCTATTGTTAAACGCCGCGATCCTGCGTGGCTCGCTGCCGCTAATGAAGGTAATTAGCTGTGAGTCACGTCGGGCTCATTTATGTTACGAGGTCAAAATCCCCGCTACACTTCAATACATTTTTGCAGCGAGCACATTTAGAAAGTAATTAAAAGGCTCAGCAGCCGCCGTTGCCTCCATCCCCTCTCCCCCTCGCCGGGCTGGCAGGATTTAATTGAGGCTAGCCGAAAGTTAGTGGGAATAAATTGTGGCTGATAACGTGGAGGTTGTAATTTAATTCCGGGAGAAGAGCTGCTCTGGCCGGGGTGTTTGGCGTTTCAGGGAGCGGCCTTGGAGCGGGGGTGATGATAACTCGGTTTTCTAACAGGATTTAGTGAGGGGCAATGACGCTCAGGGAGGCACGAGGCTGGGCACGGAGGGGTCACTCACCTCTGAGATGTGAGGCCCAAATTCCCACCCCTGGGAGGTTGTGGAGGTGGAGGTAGAGGAGGGATGCTGGTCCAGCGGCCCAGGGTGAGTTGTCACAAAGATTGGTGAGAAAACATAAAAAATATTGGCAATGTGGTGCTGGGGACATGAACTCCCCCCTTGGCTTTGAAGGGAGATTATAAAAGTTAGGGAGAGTGACTTTTTACACAGGTGGATAAAGCCAGGACACAGGGAATGGCTCCCACTGCCAGAGGGCAGGGCTGGGTGGGATATTGGGAATTAGGAATTGTTCCCTGGCAGGGTGGGCAGGCCCTGGCACAGGGTGCCCAGAGCAGCTGTGGCTGCCCCTGGATCCCTGGCAGTGCCCAAGGCCAGGCTGGACAGGGCTTGGAGCAGCCTGGGACAGTGGGAGGTGTCCCTGCCATGGGAATGAGAGGATTTTAATGTCCCTTCCCACCCAAACCATCCCATGCTTGTGTGATCTGACATCTCAATTGCTGCCTCTGCCTGAGGAATGACCAGAAGACAGAAGGATCCAGAGCTGCTGCTGCTCGGAGGTGCTGGAGCAGGATCAGCTCGGGCTGCTCCCAGGATTTCCAGCCCGGGGGGAGGGATGTAAATGTAACCTTCAGCCGGCCGCTGCAATTAGAGCCCCGTGCCTGCCGCTATATTAAAATGGGATATTGAAGCAAACAGCGGCTCTCCCCGCTCCCTGGGCTAATATCCAGCGCCTGTTTAGCCAGGGATTTGCTGGCACTGAGCAAACAGCCGGGAGCCACCGCTGGTGCTCGGGAAACCTCTGAAATCCCTGAGAAAATCCAGCCTTTGGATCCCGGCACGGATCCTCTGGCAGGGCTGAGCATCCTGCGGGGCAGGACCTTTCCCGTGGCCGGGATGAGGAGGAGGAGGAGCAGCTTTTCCACCCCTGCCGAGGCTGAAGGAGGATGGGGAATCCAAGCACGGCCATGCTCCTGATTGCCTTCCTGCTCCAGCGCTGCCAGTGAACTTCCCTCTTTTCCCTTATCCCTGTCCCTGCTTTTCCCTGGAAGGAGAGCACCGGGACTGCTTTAACTCTGTTCTTCCTCTGGAACAGGAATGGAATCACCTTTGGAGTGGCTGGCGCTCAGCTTTTCCTCAGCTGCCCCCTCAAGCTGTAATGTCTTACTAAAAGCTGACAGTGAGGCTGCTCCAGCTTTATTTTGCCTCTCATCCTGATGTCATTCCAAAAGTTTTGCAATCCCGCCCTGCCTCCGCAGGGATGCACCCTCTCCTCTCCCCTCCCTGGTCCAAACTGGTGATGGGATCTGGGACAGGAGACCTCGATTCCCACAAATCCCAGAGCTCTCCTGCTTCCCAGCAGGGAGCTCAGAGAGGCATTCCAAGGGGAATAGCAGGAAAATCCCATTTTTTGTGCACATCCTTTGCTCCCCTTCCCAAAAAACCTGAACGCCAGCTCTCGATGCTGTTACCAGTGCTGCTTTTCCTGGTCTCTCCCTGCAGATACGCTGTCAGTGCCTCGCTGGTCCCCGCAGATCCCTCGGCGGGATTTAGGAAACTCCATAAAACACAGGTGGGCCCCTCCCCGCGCTGCCGTGCCGGGGGGATGAGGGATGGGCATCTCCCTTCCCATCTCTGCTCCGGAACGCCGAGATTGGGGACATTCCCTCTCTTCCCATGCTGTGCTGTGCTGTCCTCCAAGCCCATTCCAATTCCATTTCAGCTCAGATCTGCTTTAGATAAGGCTCGAGCTGCTATCAATAAATCTGTGTGTTATCTGTGACCTTGGCAGCCTTCGGCAAATTCCCCATCTCTGGATTGCAGCCCTTCCATATCTCCCTGAAGGGGGAAAAGCGCCGGGAAGAGCGCTGCTGTTTGATGGGAAGCTGCTTCCCCAGGGGCTGCACACATTGGTCCCCAGGGCAGGTTTTGGGGGGTTCTGGGTGGGAATCACGGGGAGTTGAGGGTGGATTCCCTTTGGAACAAGCTTCCAGAACCAAAGGAAGGCTCGGGGTTGTGTTTTGGCATCCCTAGACAAAATTCCTCAACACCTGCATTGGAGTTTGAGGGCAGCAGAGAGAGGACGAAGCAGGGCTCGGGAGATGAGTGAGGCTTCAGCTCTCCCTCCCTCTGTTTCTCTCCGCAGGTTTTCCACCAAGTACTGGATGTCTCAGACCTGCACCGTCTGCGGGAAGGGAATGTTGTTCGGCTTAAAATGCAAAAACTGCAAGTATGGCGCCGTGCCGGAGCTGTTTGTGTCACTCCTTCAAACCGGGACGGGACAATCGGGGTCTGGCGGGGGAGCCGAGCAGGGATTTGGGCACGGAAACCCCAGCCAGGCTCCCGCCAGCTCATCCTCACAGGAAGCGTTAATGAGATGAGGAGTGGGGTGAATAACACCCCAAAGCAGGGCTGGGCTTGTGTCTGGGGTGGGCTCGGGCTCCTCGGGGAGGATGTGCCCGCCAGACCCCGGCTCTGCTCGCTCCAGAGCTCTGAGTCAGATCCTGGCAGCCCCCCTTGCCCAAGCCTGGCTTTAGAGCCCCACGCTGCGGAGATTCCCGGTGGAATGATCTGCAGGGATGGTGTGCTGGCCCAGGCAGGGATAGCTCTGGGCATCAGGGGGCTCTGCCCACAGTTTTGGGCTGGAACCTCTGTTTCTGCCGAGTTTGGGGCACTTCTGTGTCCTGGCAGGGTCCCGAGGAGCCAAATCGGTTCATCCATGGCACAAAGGAGAGGGGATAAAACGGGACAGGAGCGGGACAACAGCCTGGGGCTGCTCCAGCTGCTCCCACCCAGCGCAGCCCGGCCTCGGGCAGAGCCGTGCGGCCCCAGCGCTGGGGGAAGCTGTGCTGGAGCCGGGACCGCCTTTCCTGGGCTGGGAGCTGGGAATGTGCGATTGTCTGCGGCTAACGGAGCGGTGAGGACCGCTGCTGCCGCTGATTAAGCGCTGATGAGTTGGTAAATTGGGATTTAAACCTGCCGAGAAGCGCTCGGTTACTCCGCAGCTGGTGGGGCTTTTCTGGAAGGGATGTTATCAAATACAGGGATTTTAAAGGGGAGATTCCCGTTCTATCCATGCTCGAGGAACTCGAGGCTTTTCCTGCGAGCTCTCCGTGCTGCAGGAGGGATCCCTGACCAGGATCAGGGATGCTGTGGCTCTGGCTGTGCAAATCCTGCTCCCTGTAATCCTACAGAAAAGAACAAATCCGTTTCCTGGCAGTCAAAAGTTGGGAGGGAACACAAGGCATTTAGGTTTTTTCCAGCCTTGCCCCGGCGCTGCTTTCCCCAGAAAGCAGAGGGGAACCAACAGGTAAAACAAACAACCGGACCCCAAACCCCCCAAGCCTCAAATACCAAATTAATTCCTGCCTTTCCCTCTAGGAACAGCTTTGTAATAAAAGCTAACACGGGCAGCTCCTGAATTTTCATTACCCAGCTCATTGACTTGAAGCTGCCGTTCTTTTTTTTTTTCCCCCATCATTTCCCCTTGTTTTGATAAATCCTTTCCTCCTTTTTCCCTTTTCCCCCATGGCTTTCTGCCGGCCTGGCAGAGCGTGAGCTGGGGATGCGTTTCCATCCTTAATTAAGGAGGAATGGGAAAGTTTTGGGAGTCTGCCTATGCCTATATGCATGACCCGGGGGTGAAACCCTCCAGACTCCTGCCCTGGCTCCAGGAAAAAAAACCGGGAAAAGCTCTGCAGAATATCCAGAGGCTGTAAATCCTCTCTTTATTTTGGCTAAATGTGCTTAATAAAGGCAGGAGAGGAGGGCACAATGACAGGGACACATCAGGGACCAGGACAGCCACTTCTTCCCCTGCTGCTGCTCCTGAATTTAGTTGAGCCTCCAGCAGTAGGATGGTGGGAACGGGGATTTCATGGAACCGTGGAATGGTTTGGGCTGGAGGGGACCTTACAGCTCATCCTGTCCCACCTTCCAGTACACCCTCCCCCAGTGCAGGATTTTGCTGCTTTTACTGCAGCCAGCTCTGGCAGAAGTGACAATTTGGGGAGTCCTCAGCCTGGCTGGCCCAGAAAGGAGCAGTGGGGCAGAGCCCTCGGGTTTGGGAATTCCTGTGCTGCTCCACTGGGATGGAGGATTTCCAGGGGTGTGCAGCTCCTGCCAGTCAGCCCCTGCTGGTTTTCTAGGATGTGCATCCCACGCTGTTCCCTAGCCCTGGGCCTGCTGCTTGGGGATGATGGGAAGCAGGGAGCCTGCAGGGCTCACACTGGGTGAAGGACCAGAGCCGTGCATCCAGTCACCTTCCCAAGGGGAAAAGGAGGAAAAAACTCCATCACAGAGTCCCAGAATGGCCTGGATAGGAAGGGATCTTAAAACCCATCCCATTCCACCCCTGCCATGGGCAGGGACACCTTCTGCTGTCCCAGGCCTCATCCAGCCTGGCCTTGGGCACTTCCAGGGATGCAGGGGCAGCCACAGCTTCAGCCTCCCTGCCAGGGAACGATCCCTTCCCAATATCCCATCCATCCCTGCCCTCTGGCACGGGGAAGAACCTCCTCCTTATCCCGTCCCTCCATCCATCAGTTTTCCCTTCTCACTCCTTTCTCTCTGTCCCCTGCCAGGCTCAAGTGCCACAACAAATGCACCAAAGAGGCCCCCCCGTGTCACCTGCTGATCATCCACCGCGGAGGTGAGCCCCCCGCCCCCCGCTCCGAGCTCCGGGGGTGTTGCCAGCGGGAAAAACTTTCGAAATCCCCCCGGGCGATTCGGGAGCCGGACCCAGGCGGGGTCCCCGGCGGGACGGAGGCTCCCGAACCGCTTGGGCGCTCCGGGGAAATGTTACCCACCGTTTTTTCCGCTTGTAGGGAGACGAGCCGCTCGGGGCGAGGCAGATTTGCATTGCAAACCACTTCCACCCACCCTCCCCCTGCCTCCTTTTCTTTTCAGATTCCCCACCGCACGGGGTAAGTCCAACCAGGTTTTGGCCTTTTGCTTCTGTCGAGAGCTCAGGGCGGATGGGGGACCCCGAACCTCCCGGTGCATGCGGGGTCCCCGCGCCGGGGACGCGGCCGTGGCCCTGCGGATGCTCGTGGTGCTTTTTGGAGCTGCCTTATCCCGCTCTCCTGCGGGAGAGCCCGGCCTAAAGCCCGCCCAGAGACAGGCAGGACCCTGCAGCAGGACGGCGGGGCGGCGCTTCCCACCTCTTTTCTTCCAGATTTTGGCTCCCTTGCTGGCCAGAGGACCGCGACTGCCTGAGGGAGACGCTTCCAATCGCTCTTGCCTTGAATTTTGAGCTCTTAAAGCTGTTCCTTTGTGTTAAATATCCCCCCAAAACCCGCTCCTTGCTTTAATCCCGGGGAAAAGGATCGTGCTGGTGGCACCTCAGAGGGGACAGTTTCACAGCCCCCATCGCACCCCACGGCCTCGCTTGCAGCAAATTTGGGTGGAAGCGGCTGAAGATTCCCCCCCTTCCCCCGTCAGGCTCGGAGCTGCTGCAGACCCTGCCCGGGAGGCAGGGAAGGGGCAGTCGGGCTCCTGGGATGGGCAGGAGTTGGGATTCAGGGCTGTGATGTTGCCAGAGCCGGAGCTGCCCGCTGTGTGTTTTAGGAGCAGCATGGCTTTGGGGTGGCCTCAGCATCACTGAAATAACTCCCCACCCGCCAAAAAAAAAATCCCAAACCCAGCTCTTAAATCCATTATCTTGGAGTTAAACCATTCCTGAGCCCCTCAGCCTTCAGGCTGGCTTTTCCCCCAAAAATCTCAGTGTTCTGAGCCGGCTCCTTCCCTCACCCCACAAAGCTCCAGCAAGGAGCAGGATTGTGCTGGCTGAGCCCCGGTTCACAGAGGGGCCGTGGCAGCTGCAGGACCCTCCCAAACTGCTGCCGGGGGGGTTGGCTGTGGCCGGAGGATGCCGAAGTTCCGCTGCCAGCCCAGGCTGGAAGAGCCGCGGAGTCGCTTTGGAGAGCGGTCTGCAAGCGCAGGGCGGCCCCGGGCGCTGCTGCTGAGCTTTGATGTCCTTCCCTCTCTCTTCCCCTCCTCTCCACCCCCTTTCCCCTCTGTCCCTTCTGAATGCAGCGAGGTTGGTCCGGACAGAGTCGGTGCCCTGCGACATCAACAACCCCCTGCGGAAGCCCCCCCGGTATTCGGACCTGCACGTCAGCCAAACGCTCCCCAAAACCAACAAACTCAACAAGGTGAGCCTGAGCCCCCCGCGGCCACACCCTGCCACAGGGACATGACCCCTGCACCCAAATATCCGCAGCTGTGCAGAGAATGGTGGAATTCTTCAGGCTGGGAAAGATCGTTTAGGAAAATCGAGTTTGTTGCTCCCCCTGCACTGCCAAGGCCGGCGCTGTCCCATGTCCCCAAGTGCCACATCCACACGGCTGCTGAATGACTCCAGCACTGCCCTGGGCAGCTGTGCCAGTGCCTGACCACCCTTTCAGTGAAGGAATTTTCCCAAATTCCACCCTGAGCCTGCCCTGGCCCAGCCTGAGGCCGTTCCCTCTCCTCCTGTCCCTGTTCCCTGGAGCACAGCCCGACCCCCCCGGCTGTCCCCTCCTGTCAGGAGCTGTGCAGAGCCACAAGGTTCCCCCTGAGCCTCCTTTTCTCCAGGCTGAGCCCCTTCCCAGCTACCTCAGCCTCTGCTGGGGCTCCAGCCCCTTCCCAGCTCCATTCTCTTCCCTGGATATATATCCAATGAAGTTATTTCTTTTAAAAATAAAACAGGATCAGCACTTCCAGAACAGCCTGGATCCTGCTGTCCCACTCCTGATCCATTGTGGCCTCTGAGTCTTCAGTTCCAAGCTGAATTTGGGGTGGTTTGAGGTCTCTGCTCCCAGTAGAGGCTTCAATAAATAACAAATTTATTGTTGCAAATAAAACCAGCCTGGAATTGGATTGTCTCTGGCGAAGCTGCTCAAGCCAGACCTGACAGAGCACCTGGCTCACTCCTGCTCTGCCTTGATACAATAAACCCCTCCCAGGGCTGCTTCTGATGGAATTTAAAGCCCGTTGGCCTCCAGTGGAAAATTCCTTGGAGGGAGGGCAGGGTGAGGGATTAGCAGGCTGGAAGAGCTCAGAAAGAGGGACATCACTGACCTGATGGGGAATGGATCAACAAAACCCTGAATTCCCAAAGCCTGGCTGAGCTCCTCCAGCCCTCAGCATCTTCTGGCTCTGGGAAAAGTCTGGGTACCAATATGCTCCTGGAGATGCTGATTTTAAACCTAAATCTTTTTAGGAATTTCTTGGTGTGGGGATCTGGCTTTGTTGTTTTGGGGTGGTGCTTTTGTCCTGGGCACTCCCACTCAGGTTGAAATTTCCCCTGTAAATATTCTTATTTTAGCAGGGCTCCCTTCTTACTTTGGTATTTCTGAAAGCAATTCTTTAAAGGTATCCTGAATAAAATCATGGAATGGCCCTGGGTTGGAAGAGACCTTCAATTCCTCTAATTCCACCCCCCGCGAAATCTTAATTGTTTTGACCTTCACTGGTTGCTTAAAAAAGAATTTACCTGACCAAGATTCTTGAGCATGGAATGATGACCAATATGGCTTTCCTGGAAAGCCCAGCTCATTTAAGAATTAATTAATTAGGACAAAATTACCTGCTGGGGAAGGCTCGTGCAGGTTTTTTAACCTTGGAGGGAAATTCTGTGGGGATGGGAATGCTCAGCACTGCTCAGACCCTGTTCAGTGGCTCCAAGTTGGGCAGAAAGGGGTCAGATTCTGGCCCCAGTTTTCCTTTTGGGATCTAAGACATCCAAGCATGTTTTCCTGCCTGTTGGCTCTCCGTGGTCCCTTCCCACCCACGCCAATGTGCACCCAAAATCGCTGGCCTTGACTGGGAAGACTCAAGGAATGCTGAGGAATGTCTTGTGATGTGTTGGCTGCTCCTTCCAGGTCCCTCTGCTCCCTGCAAGGCCCTGGGGTTTGGCTCCAAGGAGCACAGCAGGAACTTCCAGCCCCTTGTTGTCCCCAAGGACCAAGCCCCGAGGTGGTGGCCCCAATTCTGGCCTTGGTGGCCGTGGCTGTGCAGAGCCAGGGGATTTGTGGCACCCTCAGCTGGGGCTGAGGGTGGGAAAGGAGCCAGTTTATGGTGGGAAATGGCCTCGAGGAATACAAACAGCTTTGGGGAAAGCTCCAGGTGTTTTCTAGGACTTCTGGAAGAAATGAGTGGGATGATGTCACGTGGGGTTCTCTGCACCTCGGGGTGGCACCAACCAGCGCTGCTCTCACCATTTTCTCTCCTTTCCCTCCTTCCCCGTGTCCCTCAGGACCACATTCCGGTGCCCTACCAGCCAGATTCCAGCAGCAACCCCTCGTCCACCACCTCGTCCACGCCGTCCTCGCCGGCGCCGCCGCTGCCCCCCAGCGCCACGCCGCCGTCCCCGCTGCACCCGTCCCCGCAGTGCCCGCGCCAGCAGAAGCAGTTCAACCTGCCAGGTACTGCCACCCCTCCCCTTGGCCCCGCCTGCCCCCTCAGGGGCACTCGTGTCCTGGGGTGTCCGTGGGATGTGGGACGGTTCCGCCTGATTCCCTTCCTGGGTTTGCACCGGGGTGGGGAGAAGGTGGAAGTAGAAATGAGGAGAAAAGGTGAGTTTAGGATAATTCAGGTTGGGTGTCTCTGGTCGAATCTCCTGCTTGAAGAAGGGTCAGAGCCCAAGGCTTGATCCAGTCTTGGAATCCTCCAAAGTTGGCGCCAGCTCAGTTTCCGCTCTCTTGAAGCTAAAAAGCCTTTCCAGGCATGGATTTTCCATTTTTCCATGGATTTCCAGGCATTTCGCCTCAGGTGCAAACAGAAACCAGGGGCTGACCCCTCTATGACATCAAATTGGGGTGATCCTGACATGTTTTTGGGGTGATGGGTCCCCAGCAGGTTGGCAGTATGGGTGGGGTGACAGATGGTTCTGGGAATGTCTGATGTGGCTTGTCCCATGGAATCTGGACCTGGGATCCCTCTGCTCCAGGGGCTCCATCTCTTCAGGGATGGTGGGAGAGGCAGGGAGGTCATGGTGGCTGCAGGTCACAGAAGTTATGGAAGATGGCCCAAAAAGCTCCTCCTGGGCTCAGGGTGTATCAAAGCCTGTCCCAGCGTGTCTGCCTTCCTTTGGGATGTCCTGCTGCTCCAGGAAAGGTCCCTTCCAGGAGGGAATGGCTCAGCATCACTCCTGGAAGTGTGTCCACCTGCTCCAAAAATAGAGCTGGCAAGGGAAGAGGAGATCCCTGGGATGCTGAGGCACTCCTGGCTGTCCTGGTGGCCCTGCTTGGTCCTTGACCTCCTTGCTGGACCAGCCAGAAGGTTGAGGTCCTGCACCCCCAAAATCCCAGGATTAATGAACTGGTGTGGTCGGAAGGAGGGTCAGGATGGCTTCTCCAGAGGAACCAGGCAGGAACTTCATGCTCCGTGGTGGTGCCTCCATCTTGAGCAGTCTTCAGTGAGAGAGGAAGAGGAGAAGAAGGAGGAAGATGAGGAGGAAGTTGCCTGGCAGAATCCATCACTACAACAACAAACACTTCCAGAAGCTGGGAACCCTCCCCAGCAATCAACCACCCATCATGTCCTGCATGCCCGGAGAGGTGGCAGTCCCAGAGTGCCTGGGATTCAGGCAGGATCCCGGAATGGCACGAGGAAGCCCTGAGCGCTCCCAGGAATGGTGGGACCCATCCGGAGGGTCAGGATTTCACCAGGCACAGCCCCGGAGCCCCCAAGGTCTGGGAGGACACGGCGTGAGTTCCATGCTGGTGTGACCCAGCGCAAGGAGCTCTTCCAGAGCCAAAGTGTCCTGGTGCCTTGGAATCCCAATTCGCTGCTGGGCCAGCCCTGGACCCTGCCTGGCTCTGGGAGGATCCAGCCCCTGGAAACCCCATCGTGGGTCACTTCTGGAGCAGACACCTCCCTGTGGGGTTTGTTGGGACATTATTTCATGGATTTCAGCCCCCTTTGGGGGGCTTGGAACACATTCCCAGCTGGCAGAGGTAGAGCAGGGCAGGATCAGACCCTGGCATCTCTGGGGGTGTTTGCTCCCTGTTTGGTTCCCATCAGGAGCAGAATGGGATCCAAAGCAGGACTTACCCTGCTTTCATCTTCCCATAATTTATCCCATCAGGATGATCATCTCAGGGATTAGGATTTGAGCTTGGAAATGGTGAGACAGTGACCTTCTCCTGCTGGAATTACCTTCCAGGCTCCTTTGATGTTGGCTCAGGTCCTGCTGCAGGGCTGAGGTCGGACTTTGGGGTCTCTGAGCTGGAGGGGGGAAGCTGAGCCGTGGCCCTTGGGGTCTTGGAGATAAGGAGGTGATTTCTGAGCTGCTGCCAACCCCTGGTGGCCTCAGCAGCTCTGAGTTCTTCGCACCCATGACCTGCCTGCCCACGGAATCGGATCAGTCCTTGGGCTGGGGATGGGAGCCAGCTCCCAACTCCCAGAGCCTCTCCAAACTCTGGCTTTGGACAGTGGCTCCTACGACTCCTTCCAGGAAGGACACGGCTCCAAAGCCAGGGAAAAAAGGGTGGAATGTGGCCCAAATGGGCAGCAGCTGCAAACCCATCACTTGGTTGCCAAGAGCTTCCCAAATCCCACTTGAGGGCCAGGACTGTAACCTGGCTGGCAAACTGGTGTCCAAACCCCACCAGTGACTTCATGGGTGACATTGATGCTCTCCAAATGGTGCAGAAAAGAAGCTGTGGGGGGAAAAATCAAGTTATTATCCAGCAAAGGTCTTAAGTTTTTGGCCTGGGCATCCTATGTGCCATTTTGGAATATTCCATATGGGGATATGGAAATGGGAGAGGTTGGATCACACAGGAGGGCTTCACACAACTGGGGTTGAGGTTTCCTGGTGAAGACCTGGGCACAGGCTGGAGCTTTTCCAGCTCCACAGGTCAGTGTTGAACCCTTGTTCCTCTTTTCCAGCCTCCCATTACTACAAGTACAAGCAGCAGTTCATTTTCCCAGGTAAGGCTCTCTGGAAGCTTCTCCTTGGATGGGGTTTCTCCTGGTGGGGATGGGTGTGTGGCCAGCTCTCCAAACCCCTGGATTTGTGCCGGGGAGGTGCTGGGGTGGGATTTCTCCTCAAAGCCTGTTGGTGCTGCAGGGTCGGGTGGCCCTAAGTGACCCCCAGCCCTACTCAGGGTGTCACTAAGTGGGACCTGGGGGTGAAGGGTGGGGTTTAATTCCCCTGGATGCCCCCAGAGATCTCTGACTCCTCTCTCCTGTTCCCAGATGTGGTGCCTGAGACGCCGACCCGAGCCCCACAGGTCGTCCTGCACCCCGTCACCTCCAACCCCATGTGAGTGACTCCCCATCCCCAGCCCCTTCCCTCTGCTCCCCAAATCCTCCAGGCCCCCATGGGTGCTCCCCTGGCTCAGGTGGTCCTGGTGAGACCCCCGGGCTCTGGAAGGTTGAGAAGGAGGGCAAGAGGTTCATTTATGACCCACAGCTCTTCACTGCTAGAAAAAAAAAATTGGATTTCAGTCCAAAAATCCCCAGCCCAAGGGATTAATTCAGTTATAATTAAACTAAAAGCAGATAACCGCTGTATCTTTGCCACTTCCAATATTGTCAAGCCAAATAAACTCCAGGCTGAAAGTTGGGAAAAGCAGCATTTAATCAGTGTTAGAACCATCCCTCCCCAGCAGGTCGAGCCCAAATCCATCATTCCTTGATGCCCTGGAGCCTGTGCTGCTCCTGCAGCCACACTCCAGTGCTCTGTCCCTCCTGATCCTGCCTCTAAAGGCCATTTTGGAAGGATTTCACAAGCCAGGGCTTTAAGGGATCAGGCCTGGCCCTAGTTTTTGGCTGGCTTGTCCACACTCTCCAAATTCTGCTGGGGATCCAGTGGAGCAAAGGATGGAAGCTCTGTCCCTTGGGAATCCATGGAAAAATGGTGAAACCTAAGCCATTTTTTTCCCTGCCTAAAGGAAGGTGTCAAGACATAATTTGGGGAGGAACGGCTGTAAATATCCAAAATCTGTGATTCCCTCTGTCCCCCCCACACTGAGAACTTCCCATGGGAGCCATCCTGGGCTTGGCTGGGTTAAACATCTCTGGATCCTCAGGAGACAGGAATTCATGCCTGGGATAACGATGAGGAGCCGGCTGCTCCTGCAAACCACCCATCCACGGAGATGTTCTGCAGCCACTTGGGCTTCCCAAGCTGCTCAAAATACCAGGATCGACTCCTTTTCTGTAGGATCCTGGGATTTACAGTCTTTAGTGGCTGTGGAATGGGATAGGACTTGCAGGATTGCCATGTCCTGGGGGAGCGTAATTCCCCTGAAAAGAGATTAATAATAATAATTTATAATATATTTATATGATGTTCCAGCTGATCCCTCATTCTGAACTTCCCTAATTCCCCATTTATTGTCAGGAGCAGCAGACCCCAATCACGGACCTGGGGGTGGGAAGTGCTGAGTGAACAGGGAAGGAAAAGAACTGGGAAACCAGTCAGATTTGGGTGCTTTACTGCAGGGAGAGGATCTCTGAACCCTCCACTTCTCCAAAATGATTGAAAAACTCCCTTTCTTTCCTTCTGCACTTCTGCTTTGGCTGGGGTTGGTTGTGAAGAAATCTTAGAAATCTCTGAAAATGCCTCGAGTGTGGTCAGGGTCAGTGGGGGTAAATCTGTCCCTTTCCCTGCGTTAGTGGCACCTTCTCCTCTCTGACCCCTTTATCCCCAGGGCAGGGACTGCTCCCCAGATCCCGGTGTTTTTCCATGGTGTTAATTCCATAATTCTTTTAACAGCCTGGAAGGAAACCCATTGCTTCAAATTGAAGTGGAGCCCACCTCGGAGGTGAGATGGCTCCTGTGCTTAATGGGCCTTGGTTTTAAGGATATCTTGGGGCACATTTCCTGGGAAATGGAGACGTTTCCCATCTGTGCAGTGGAGTTGCTGATAATTGAATTAAAGTCCAGGCATCCGTGTCCCCACCCCATGGAGAGGGACCCTCCTGGGCTTTGAGTTTGGCATTCAATGAGGTTTTTTAGGAGGCATTAAAAATGCGGTGGGAGGGAAAGAAAGGAAGGGAAGATGAGGATGGAGCTTTTAAGAGGTGCTGTAAATCCTATAGGAAGTCTAAATGGACCATCAAGGGGTCCGGGAATAATGGGAATTAACAGAGCACAGCTTAGCCAGGGGAGGACGAAACTGTTTTAAGACAAATTAATTAAATCTCTGATGGGCCACAATCTTAAATTTAGCCCCAGGATGGGGTTAAATGGTTCCACATGGAAGCGGTGGAGTCCCCAGCTCTGGGGGGATTTAAACCTTGTGCTTGTGGCACCTGGGGACATGGGTTTGTGGTGGCCTTGGCCATGCTGGGGGAGGGTTGGAGTGTTGTTGTGTTTGTGGGTCCCAGGACAAAGGAAGAGATGAATCTGTCTCCATATTTCTTAGAGGGCTGATTTATTATATTATGATATTATACTAAAAATGCTATACTAAAGTATACTAAAAGAATAGAAGAAAGGATATGTCAGAAGGCTAGGAAAGGAATGAAGAATAAAAACTTGTGACAGACAGAGTCTGACACCATGGCTGTGATTGGTCCTTAAGTAAAAACAACTCACATGAGACCAGTCAAAGATGCACCTGTTGGTAAACCATCTCCAGGCCACATTCCACAGCCACCAGACAGGTGATTGTTTACATTTCTGAGGCTTCTCAGGAGAAAATCCTAGTGAAAAGATTTTCATAAAATATCATGGTGACATTGGAGTCTATCCCAGATGGCTTTTCCAACCTGAAGGATTCCATGATTCTATGAAAATCTGGGATTCTGCCAACTTTGTGTAGAGCAGGGCTGCTCCGTTGGTGTTGGGAGGCCCTGCCCGGTTCCTCCAGGTCTGAGCGAGCTGGAGTTGGCTCAGTGGGGTTTTTCCCCACAGTTTCCTCCCTGTTTTATTGTTCCCCGTGCCCTTTGCCCACCACAGAACGAGGAAGGCGCCGAGGAGGTGCAGGAGTCCGAGGACGACTTCGAGGAGATGAACCTCTCGCTGCTCTCGGCGCGCAACTTCCCGCGCAAGGCCAGCCAGACCAGCATCTTCCTGCAGGAGTGGGACATCCCCTTCGAGCAGCTGGAGATCGGCGAGCTCATCGGCAAGGGCCGCTTCGGGCAGGTGTTCCACGGGCGCTGGCACGGGGAGGTGGCCATCCGCCTCATCGACATCGAGCGCGACAACGAGGACCAGCTCAAGGCCTTCAAGAGGGAGGTCATGGCCTACCGGCAGACCCGGCACGAGAACGTGGTGCTCTTCATGGGGGCCTGCATGAGCCCGCCCCACCTCGCCATCATCACCAGGTTGGAGTTGGCTTTTTCTGGCCAAAAATTTGTTTTCCCTGTCTAAAAAATGCGGTTTTCCCGGTCTTTTTTTTCTCCAGTCCAACGGTGTGGTTGGGTTGAGTTTCCTCCCCTAAGGAAGGGATGCTGTCCATGTGCTGTATCCATGTTCTCCATGTGCTGGGGTTTGTGGTGTGGAGGACACAGCAAATTCAAAAGTCTGTCCAGGCAGGACATTTTTCTGTAGGAGGCAAGTTCCGGACAGGAATGGTTTGTTTGTCCAGGCACAGGAAGCATCATGGAACCATGGAATGGTTTGGGTTGGGTTGGGAGAGACCTTAAAGCCAAGCCAGGGCTTTAGCACCTTCCACTATCCCAGGATATTCCAACCTGGCCTTGGGCACTGCCAGGGATCCAGGGGCAGCCACAGCTGCTCTGGGCACCCTGTGCCAGGGCCTGCCCACCCTGCCAGGGAACAATTCCTAATTCCCAATATCCCATCCATCCCTGCCCTCTGGCAGTGGGAAGCCATTCCCTGTGTCCTGTCCCTCCATCCCTTGTCCCCAGTCCCTCTCCAGCTCTCCTGGAGTCCATTTAGTAACTGGAAGACTGAGAAGCTCCTTGCAGCTTTCAGGGATTTGGGGGCTTCACAGCACCTTCACAGCTTTTTTGGTCTCAAGGCAAATACGTGCCCTTATCCACATTCCCAATGGGAATGCAGCACAGAGTCTCCCAGTATAATCCGTGCTTAGTTGGGCAAAACATCTCACCTGGCCTGGAGGCAAAGAGGCTGCAAGTGCTACCAGAGCAGCTGTTGTCATGGGAAATGCATTTATTCCAGGGAATTCCATGATTTCCTTCACCTCCAGACCATGCTTTCAGCCATGGGACTGGACATGGTCCTGCTTTTCATCCCAAACAGTTTGTTTTCTCCCAGAGAAGTTTCTCCAAGGTGAGGCTGAATTTTCCTCCTGGCAGCATTTCAAAAAGCAATGGAATGGCACCGCTTCCAACAGCCATCAGTGATGAAATATTGCATCATCTTTTCCTGATGTCCCTAATTTTCCCTTGCAAGTGGCACCTCCCAGTCCCTGATCCCAGATGGGGTGGCTCTGCAGGTGCTCTTTTCCTTCTTTGTCCAAACCAAAAGGATTTCACCCCAAATTTGTGTTACCTCATCCCTGCTCCAGTGGGTTCTTGGATGGTGTTTGCCTTGGGAGTTTCATCCTCTGGGGTCAGGGTGACTCCAAAGCGGGGCTGCCTCTCCCCAGCTGGTGACTGGAAAAACGATGCCTTTTATTCAGGACCAAAAATGAGCCATCTGGGGAAAATTCCTCAGCATTTCCATCTATTGGGTAGCTCCAGGCCAAAAGCTTTTGGGAAAGTGTGCAAACACATGTATTGATGGATGAGTCAGAGCCCCTATCCGTGTGTCACACCGCGTTCCCAAAGGGAAAGGCGGCGTCTCCATCGCGCTCCGCCGTCCCTCTGCAGCCCCCATTTGCTCAGCTTTTCAGGGCTATTCAATAGCAAAACCTGGGAAATGTATTCCTTGATTCTTTTTTAATTATTTGGTTTTTTTAAATTTGAGCCGTGGAATGCTTTCTCTTCCATTTTCTATTCAAATGGGTCTTTCTGTAAAGGCAGAAAGGTGCCATTTTTGACAGCTGGACAAAATCAGTCTGTGTGCTGCTGCAACCTGGTGAATTAATGTGAGGAACGTGGAGCTCTGCTCGTCCTGTTCCTCTTCCAGCTGCACTTGGTTCTGTTTTTTGAGGTCAAAATGTAAATGCATTAAATTGCCCAAAATGTAACCCAAGCTCACAACATTTCCAGGCATCGTTTGCTTGTTCCTGCAACTCACTTTTATCTGCATCCTTCGAAAGGTGAACCAATATCAGCTTTAAACCAAAGGACAGTAGGGTCAGATGGGATATTGGGAATAAGGAATTGTTCCCTGGGAGGGTGGGCAGGCCCTGGCACAGGGTGCCCAGAGCAGCTGTGGCTGCCCCTGGATCCCTGGCAGTGCCCAAGGCCAGGCTGGAGCAGCCTGGGACAGTGGAAGTGTCCCTTTCACCTGGAATGGGGTGAGCTTTAATGTCCCTCCCAACCCAAACCATTCCATGAGAATTTTACAGTTGCAACTGGAAACCTGTTTGATTTCTCCTGCTGGGATTTCTGGGGTGCAGGAAAATCAGCGGGGCTCAGCTCAGTCTCAGGATTTTTGGGAAGCCCAGGATTGTGTGAGTACATATCCCATAGGCCAGAGGTAACTTCCAAACACAATTTTCCTGCTTTGAAGCTTCCTGTTCTGCTGTTCTATGACAGCACAGGAATCAGAAGTTGTGAATTTGAGTTTGGGCTGGAAAGGAATTTAAAGCTCATCCCATACCCCCCCCTGACACAGGCAGAGACCTCTTTCACTCTCCCAGGCTGCTCCAAGCCCTGTCCAGCATTCCTTGGACACTTCCAGGAATCTAGGGGCAGCCACAGCTGCTCTGGGCACCCCCACCCTCACTGTGGAAAACTTTTCCTTATGTCTGATCTAATCCCTACTTCCAAGGATGCTTCCTTGCTCTTGTTCTGGCACTCCTTGTCTGGTCCATCCTTGGCTGACCATTTTTGGGAAGTCTCTGGCCATCTCCTGTAGGGAAAAGCCTTCTCCCCATGTGGAGCTTTCCCTCCCATCCATGTTTTGGGTTTTTCCTAAGGGATATGACAGCCCTGGGAGCGTTTCTGCCATGAGAGCTGCTGCTTGGGTGTTGTAGGGAATGAGGCAGGGAAGAGGACAGTGTGGGAATGTCCGGGATGCTGGGAATGGTATGGGATATTGGGAATGGTCCAGGAGGTGGCACTGGGGGAGCATCACTCTTCCAACAGGACTTTTCCAAAGGGACCCAAGTTTTCCTTGCAGGTTTATGGGAATAACTTTAAACCAGGCTCTGCTTGGAGTGGAGGGAATCATTCCCTGCTGCCTGAGGAGGGGATTATGGCTATAGACTCAGGATATCAGGATTTCCTCACCCTCCATGTGCCCATTCCCAGGGCAGGACTTTCTCTGTGTGTGGAAAAGGCCACCACTTTTCTCCTGGGAGCCCACAAGTGGCCACTCGAGACCTTTTTTTCCACAAAATCCCAGCAATTCCTTGTGGCTGTTGCAGAAATCTCTGTTTCCCTGCACGTCTGGGAGCAGCTGCGTGTCCCTGGGAAGGGGCTTCACCACGTCGTGCCACCGGCGCTGCCGGAAGGGGGTTATTTATAGCCGGGTTTATTTTTACTTTTCCCCATCCCGACGTTTTCCTTCCTGATTGCCTGTGATATTCAGGGATCGTCTCATTAGCAGAAAGAAATTTCCCCATCCAAAGAGCACGGCCCATAGGGGAAAAAATGGAAGGGGAAACTGAGGCAGCAGCTGGCTGAGGGTGGGGTAGTTTGGGTTAAAAATCTGATTTTCCCAATATTAATGTTTTTATGGATAAATGGGACCAGCACTGTTTAATATATTCCTCAATGATAAAAACAGTGGGATTGAGACTGGAAAAGAGAAGGCTCCAGGGAGAGCTCAGAGCCCCTTGCAGGGCCTGAAGGGGCTCCAGGAGAGCTGGAGAGGGACTGGGGACAAGGGATGGAGGGACCGGCCACAGGGAATGGCTCCCACTGCCAGAGGGCTGGGATGGATGGGATATTGGGAATGAGGAATTGTTCCCTGTGAGGGTGGGCAGGCCCTGGCACAGGGTGCCCAGAGCAGCTGTGGCTGCCCCTGGATCCCTGGCAGTGCCCAAGGCCAGGCTGGACAGGGCTGGGAGCAGCCTGGGACAGTGGGAGGTGTCCCTGCCATGGCAGAGGGTGGCACTGGATGGGCTTTAAGGTCCCTCCAACCCAAACCATTCTGTGACTCCTGAGTTCTCTCTTAACGAGACACAAAAGCAGAAATTCGGCATTTTTCTGCAGTGGGAGGTGGCAAGTGCAAGGAGCGGTTCCATCGGAGCTGCTAATGGGTTTTCTCTTGGGTAATGAGCGCTGGGGACAATTAACATCCATCTTAATTAGTCTGGAGCAGGAGCGGGTGCGAACCTTGGCGCTTTGAGCACTGCGCAATGGACGGCGGGAAACGCGGAAAAGTCCTTGGCTGGGTGGGAAGGAAAGGGCTGGAAAAACTCCCTTTGTTGGAATAATGAGTTGGTTTTGCTGCTGGGGAGCGTGACAAAGCCAGGCCTGGGTAAACTCAGCTCCTTGGGGCTCCTGGTCCCCAGTGCAGGAGCAGAGGTAAAGCCTCAGGCACCCAAGGGGCCTTCCAAGGATCAAGTCCTTTCCTAATCCTGATAAAATGGCTCCAGCCACCCATGAAAGCAGAAACTCCCACATTTTAGGATTCCTCCTGAGAAAAAAAAGGGGGGATTTGAATGCTTATTTGTGCTTCCCAAGGCTCCAGGTGCTCCTTGGGTCTGTAATGGAAGCAGGGGATCACCCACTGCATGCAGCTCCCTGGGGCTCCTGGTGGTTGGGAATGTTGTTTGGGAGAAGGGAGCGAGGTTACCCAGCCTGGGAGAAGATTTGAGCTGGAGTTTGATTGGGCTTTGAGCTCACACTGGCTTGTGAGGGGGCTTTGGGGCAGCTTTTCCAAAATTTCTTGGGTTTTTAGTTAAAAGCTCCACCGTGGCTCTCGGAGCTTGTGCAAGGAGTCTGGGATTTGCTCCTTGGGACGCTCCAGGCTGGGTTATGGCCCTTCTCTTGTCACGCCAGGGTGACTTCAGCTTTCCAGTGTGCTGCTGGTGATGCCACCAGGGCTGTGTGGCCATGATTTATGGCCCTGCTGGGAAGACCAAGGAGAACACTGAGGAACATTAGGAATTAACCTGACCTTGGCAGAACTGTGTAAAGAGAATTAATTTGTCCAAAGTGCCTTTGGAGCAGAGGAACTTGGAGTGTTTCTGCTGGAGAGGGAGCATCTCCTAAACCCTCCCCTGGAGCTGCTGCTGGCGGGGGGTGGAGTTAAACCCAGTCCCTGTCCTTACATGAGA